TATTTTGCCTTTGTTTTTCATACCATAGATTTAAACACAGGAAACAATACTTAATGATTTTAGTACATGCTAATATCACATACTGTAGTTGCTGCAGATTTGTTGCAGCATACTCAAAGGTGCTGTATTGGATCAAGATCTGGTGGCCATGAAGCGGTATTTGACTATTGTTGACATTTCTAACAAAAAAAAATGTATAAACTAAATCTCTTTGAATTATTTTAAGTGTTTTAAGATGGTATGTTATCCTGAACATGGGTAAACTGTACATTAAGGGATAGACAAGGTTAGCAAGAATATTTAATGTATGTTTAAACAATGCTGAAAGACGCCCAAAGAATGCAAAGAATATTATATAACATGCAAGAAAGACAAATTGCCAAATTGTGATTCAAACATCCCTATATAAACAGAAATCAAGACTTTTTAGATTAGATAAACTTTATTGCATCTTGGTGAGCCTAGTCAACTTGTAACCTTAATTCTAAGACTTACGGGATTGTTCACCCAAAACTGAAAATTCTGTCATCATTTACTCACTCTTCACCTGTCACAAACCTGTTTGAGATTCTATCTTCTGTTGAACGCTAACATAGATACTTCCATAGTATTGTTTTTCTTAGTATGGAAGTCAATTGTTAACGGTTTCAAGAATTCTAGAATGTTTTTTTTTTTGTGCTTAACAGAAAAAAACTCTAACATTTCGAATCATTTGAGAGTGAGTAATCTTTTTCATTCATTTAAGGCTGTGCTTAATTTGTAAATGAATAACTCCCGGAACAAAACCAGGAAATAAAAGTTACCGTGACCAACGTCCACCAAACAATTTCAGTTTTCCCAGAACATGACATGATTAAATGGTCCAAAAAAGCAGCGCAAAAAAAAAAAAAAAACAGCATCACATTTCTGAACTGTATTTAATTATTTTGTGCCATATAGGTCAATTATGGATAATAAAAACGTAACGGGTGATGCAGTGGCGCAGTAGGTAGTGCTGTTGCCTCACAGCAACAAGGTCACTGGTTCGAGCCTCAACTGGGTCAGTTGGCATTTCTGTGGGGAGTTTGCATGTTCTCCCTGCGTTCGCGTGGGTTTCCTCCGGGTGCTCCGGTTTTCCCCACAGTCCAGAGACATGCGTTACAGTTGAATTTGGTAGGCTAAATTGTCCGTAGTGTATGAGTGTACGTATGTATGGATGTTTCCCAGAGATGGGTTGCATCATGACTCACTCAGATACTAAGAAGAGCCCACAATACATCTTCTGTCATGTTTTCTGGCTGACTTGAGATTGCTTTGCTTCTGCCTCTTACTATCCTGATCCATGGGTGCAGTTTCATCTTCTCAGTCTTTTGATCAGGCTCATTATCAGATTTACCTGTGGTTTTAAAAAAATTTAAATATGCGTGACTGCCTCTTTGCCATTTTGAACATACAAATATTCTTTAGATAAACGTTAGGCCACTATGCTGTTATTTATTTTCACTGCACGCGAAACAGTCACCAACTAATAAGAGTGATTGTAAAAATAAGAAAACTGATTGGCTGAAATTATCCTTGATGGCCAATAGACTTTTGCTTTAACTTGCGTATGGTAACTACTGTCATGTGTATGTGTGTGCGCACACTAGGCATGGGTCGGTATAAGATTCTGGCGGTATGATAACCTTGGATAAAAATATCAAAGATTCACAGTATTGTGATTAATGCTCTAAAAGGTATATTTTTTAAATGTCTGGGTAATAAAAACTAAAACATTTTTTTCTTTAAAACACAATATATTTTATTTTGAGAAACATTTAAAATATTTAGTAACAAGAAACATGTCAGGCTAAATAATCCAAATGAATCATTGACTTTTGCTGTCTTCATTTATTTCAAAAACAGATTTATTATTATTATAATTTTTTTTTTTTACAATTTAAAACAGCATCTTTGGATATTGTTTCTGCTGGAGATAATGTTGTCCTAAAAAAAAAAGTAGATTAAAAAAAAAAATCTTACACATACCTTAGGAACAGTATTGCTGAAAATTTTAATTTAAGTTTTAAAACCTTTTTAAAGGTTAAATTTTTTTTCAAACCGTGGTATAACTTGAAGACGATTATCATCCTATGACTAGCGCGCACTCACAATCCACACAGTTTTCACTCACAATCCACACAGTTTTCACTCACACTCATTCACATTCACTCACACTCATTCACATTCGCACGCACGCACGCACACACACACACACACACACACACACTTCCAAACAGGATCTTGCAAGATCTGGCTCAAATTAAGCACTGATTTTAAGTAATTTAAAAAAGTCTATTTAACAGGACTGAAATGGCTATAATTTTCTGCTGCTGTAGCTCATCTGCTTCTGGTTTTGTTGTGTTGTTTGTTGCCTTTTCATCATTCTCTGACCTCTGGCATAAACAAAACATTCACCCACAGAATTAATGCTCACTGTATATATTCTCTCTCTCTCTCTCTCTCTCTCTCTCTCTCTCTCTCTCTCACACTCTCTCTCTCTCAGATGATGATACTTAGCAAACCTTAGAGATGAAAATTCCAGTAGGTCAGCAATTTTAAGTTCAACAGATCACCTTGATGTCTACAGTACTTGCCTAATAGATTAAGTTGCTGACAGTGATTGGCTGATTCGGCCTTTTTGTTGACAAGATAATACCGTTTATGAGTAACCTGTTTTCCATTGAACTGGCATATTGTATTTACTGAGATATACATTGTATACTTTGGTTAAATTTATTTTTCAAATATGGAAACAGTCCTGGTCAACATTACTAAATCCACAGACAAAAGGTAGGCACAAAGGTTGAGTAAACAATTTATGTTTTTTAAACTATCTAATGACATTAAGGGTTGACATATTAGTACTTTTACAGTATTATTGTTGCTAGCACACAAACAATAACAATAAAGCACATTTTTATCAAAAAGTTTATCAGACCACATGTACTTCCTCAACTCTGGTGACATTTCTAAGAACAACTTTACTCACACACGGACCAGGAAGCTGAGATTTAGAAATAGCAAAACAAAAGGCATTTAGAATGTTACCTTACATACAGACAGCAGTTTTTGATGTCTTTTTTTTAGCATGAGTGGCTAAAACTGGAAGAGCCTCAAGACTTGCCTATGAAATTCTGTGAGGGTTTTCAATTTATAAGTAAATTTATAAAACAACTGTGGTAAACATAGCCTGAATATACTTTTATGTAGTATCATTACAAAAATTCTACACACAGTAATGTTTCATTTTAACAACATATTTTATAAAGGCCAACTCACATTACATTATATGCCAAGAAACAGCTTCATTGGATTTTGTTGGATTATCGTGTTATTTCTGCTGGTGTCTGTCAGAACTTGTTTTCACTAAATGACCATGCTGAATTGCTGCTAATGGTCGAATGCCTGAGAAGTGACATGCTGCAATCTGATGATCATCCATGTTTGTCAGCATCTCTTGGTGCAGTGGGATTGGCTTTAATAAGTAACTACAAAACCATTTTTAAGGGAGTGAGTGTGTGCAGTTTACATCACTGAAAAAAACTCAACATATTGTCTATGCTTACTACATAGAAGAAGCTACCCAGCTACCCAATGTGACAAATGTAAAGCTGCTGAACGTACCTTAGCACAACTTTTTTTGTTCCCGTGTTCAAATTCAGAATTTTTGGTTAGAAATATTTCAGTTCTTTGCTAAAGTTTACGATTGTATTTTACTCCCTGACAGAATAGCAATTTTTGGCTCGTCAGATTTTCTGGAGACTCTCAACCGAAATGTAGAGTTACCCGTTCAGTAAAAAAAAAAGTTATTCTTTGTTTCTGGAAGTAAAATGTTAGGCCCCTTTTTTCCTGACTGGCTTCTTGGACTCACCTCCACTTAACATTTGGAAAGAACTAGGTATACCACTTCTGGAAAAATTTGATCAAATGTGGGATCCAGTCTTTTTTTTTCTAAAACTCCATGAAGACCAATAGTGTTTAATTTCCGAAGATTTGTAAGTTTTTTTGCTGTGTGTTTTTGTAGGTCATACATGTCTTATATGTCACCATTTTCCCTTACTTCATGCTTTATTTTACATTTTGCACAGATTATTGTTTTACGATGGGTTTGTCTGTCGGTTCCTTGTTTTTGTCTGCAAAAACTATAATAAAAAATAACCTGGGAATAACCTTTTTACAGTGTCTGGTATAATGTTAATTATTGCCGCATTAAATCGTCATGATAACATGATACTGTTGCCTTCAATGTTTTCCTGAAGATAAATACCAAAAAATACTGTAACTGGAATAACTACAGCAGTCACCATTATCGATCTCATATAAAGAGCTCGTGCTGACATATGATGACGTGTGCAGGTGTTGTAGTGCTGTCCCATTTCTTAGGGGTAAGATTTGAAGACATCACCCATCAGACTCTGTTTCAAGGGTAGGGATACAAAAAATAGAATTGGGTTTTGCCCATAGCCTCTATGCAATGGTATCACAAGGCGGTGCTCACTTTCTGACCAGAGGCTTCTGGAGAGGATGTAGACCTATGTAAGCAAGCATCAAGGATTTGAAATTGATACAAGCCTTGACCAGTAACCAATGCAGAAAGATAAAGAGAGGTGAGTTACATGGGCTCATTGAAGACCAGACGAGCTGCAGCTTTCTGGATCATCTGTAAAGAACTTAAAAATGATAAACCCCATTATAAAAGCCCATAGAAAAATGTTGCAGGAAGCAGTGATGAACTAGTCTTCCAGGTTCTGACGTCACAACTCCAGCACCTCTTGGCTCTCTGTTTTCTAATTCATGGTAACTGACAAACCCTACATGACTCCAAGGTGTGTCACTTAAATTCAGAAAGCAAGACTCATTCTTTACACAGTTCTCAAAGCAGACGCCCATGTTTTCTTTTCAAATTAAAATAGTTAATGTAAAAACCACAGTGTAGAGGTTGAGTAACCTGTTACAGGAAGCAAAAAAGCGCACGTTCAAGATGCACTCATGTCTTATATCTCCTCCTCTTTAAACCTGTATTTCCTGTCCAGCTTATAAGTTCCTCTGTCTTCCTCAGACATTATCAGTACGTGTGCAGGACACAATGGAGGACAGCATAGAAGAAGACATTGAGTCTCTAATTGAAGGAATGGCCTATATTCCCGGCCACTTTCATCTGGAGTTAAATCTGAACGGCGAACCCAATGGATCAGCTACCCTTCGGCTCCGGGACACCCAGATGAAGCGGGAGAGCCTAAGGGCTGAGCTGGAAGCTGAGACGGGACGATTGCAATATGCTGTGCGTAATATACTGGGTGTGCTGGCGTTTCATATGGACGAACTGGAGACAGCAGAAGAAACATTTCGTAGCATCTGCCAAGAGGATCCAGAAAATCTCAACGCCTGGGCCAACCTGGGATATGTTTATGAACGCCTGGGCCGTGAGGTGGATGAGGGGGGGTGTGTGGAGCGTGTGGCTGGCCTCATGGGGCGAGAGATGGGAGAAAACCAAACAGACTGCAGGCTTAGGGCAGCCCGGTGCTTGGCTGAACAAGCGTACGCACATCCTCATGATGTGGAATTGGAGAGGGATGAAGATTTACGCGAGAGGCTGACAGCGGCGCTGATGTTATACAACCGTGCGCTCGATTATGGAGATGAGCTGGTAAGAATATCACAATTTCATATGTACTTTACAGGGAGACATAGTAATGTTGTTAGAGAGTAGTTGACAATAGAATTTATTAAATAATGAACATATCATTACATTTTTGTGAAGCCAGTTAATGCAGTATTTTAGAATCAACTTTGGATTGTCTTAAAAAAAAGTGTTTTGTTAAGGAGACATGGATAATGTGCTGAGCTGGTGGCCCTCCAGGAGCATGGTTGAGAAACACTGTATAATCTGATATATTAAACTTTTTGACCCTGACAATGCCACAAGGGGTACTATTTTTTATGTTCTTGTAAAGTTTAAGAGGAATAAAACAATAAATTTGAACTCTGAATTTAAAAGCACTAGTATTTCTGCAACATTTTTTTTGCTGTGAAATTTGCATACTACAATGAGTTAAAACGCAGGGAAAACACTAAAGAAACCAATAAGGAAACTGCCAACTAGTGTCAGTAACTTTCTTGTTCTTTAATTTCTTACAGATACCGATGGAGGAAAAAAGAAATTGGTATTTCAAAATGGCAACAATTTACATAAGGTATTTACATAAGTATTTTTACACCTACATGTTCCTTCATTTTTAAGATATCAAACATGACAACATATGTGGCATTTAAGGAATCTCTGTTATTCCATTTCTTGAACTGAAACATTATTAAGCTGATCTTTACTATTATTGACTTGTTTTTATAGGTTAGATGGAATTGTACGGGATTCAAATGACATTGACTTCACAAGAGTGAACTATTTCAACAAGGGTCTCAAGCTTCTCACTGAGACTCTAAAATCTGAGAACACGCATCTCAAAGGTAATTTTCATACACTAGATATATTTACTGAACAATAAGAGTGTCCATGTTAATACTGTAGGTGAGACGATAATCAGGGACTGATATTGATCGTCAGAGCCGTAGTAGAGAGTTGTAATGTTATTAAATGTAAAGTTCCAAATGCAATATTTAAGGTTTGAAAATATTCAATACATTCTACATATAATGGAATAGAGCTTTGCACATAACATGCAGAAAAATATTGATGTTGTGGAAATTTGTTCCATTATTTAGATTAGTAAATCGTTCCTAGATCATTAATTCATTCCCTCAGTTTAGGCAATGGTGGCCATGTTGTAATAAATGTATTTATTTTTTTTTATTTTTAAGTATTAAATCATGACCACAATTTAACTAAATGGAGGGAAAAACAATTGTACAATGTGGTCACAAACTAATAATAATAAATTAGTCCAGACAATATTAAGATGTTGAACACTACAAGTACATATTTTTTGGTCGATTTTACATTGACGGGATTCACTGCCACACCTTCAAGTGCTTTTAGTCTGTCTATAAATGTTACATTTAATTTTCTCTCACCTTGAGGGCCCTGACAGTTAGAGGCCTGAGGGATCTGGCCCTGTCCTTTATACACCTCTACATAAACGGTGGAGTGAAAAGTTTCACAGACCAGCCTTTCCGGTTTTATATTGCCACTTGTCATGCTTGGCTCTTTTATGACCTCTTATCGCCTTCTAAAAGATTTCAAATGTCAAGAAATCATTAAGACGAGAGCTGTGTTCATTATAAATTCCTTGTCAATTTACCAGAGTGAGAGCTTTGAAGAATTGAAGAGTGTACATTGAAAAAAGCTGTTTCTTGTAATACGCTTCTATGTCATTTATCAACATGTAGTGCAACAAATCATGAAAAGTCTCCTGAGAGGCCTGTTTTGAGTTCTTTGGTTGGACCATTCAATATGGTGTGCAAAACCTACATGGTAATCATCAGAAAGGTGATTCATCTCATACATAATTAAAGAGGGGGTCCAGAGTTTTTTTAAGGTGCAGTAGGTGATTGTGTAGGTGATGTAGGTTGTGCTGGTTGAACGTCTCTTCAAATTCCAATGGTAATGATTAAAGTAAATGATCTAAATGTGTTTTTATGTATTTTTACATTCTGGGTAAGGAATAAAATGAAAAAATGTTCTCTAATTAAATATTGTCAGGCCGACATCTCCTATAACTCCAATAAGTAGCCTAAACTGTCTGTCAGCAAATATAGATTTGTGTATCTGCACATCTCTGTTCACGCAGATCCGCCATTATGATGTGCACGCGTTAATGCATGCCACGCGTTCATGTGCACACAAGATCACATCAGTAAAATCAAATGCAGAATCAAAATATACGGTGAAATATTGATGTGACTGTTTTCAGTTTCATAAGGTACCTTTTACAGCATCGATAATGTCGATATTTATTTAATTTAACATTAAAACATTAGTAAATAGCGATATTCTGCCTAGCCTGCTTTACCGAGGTGAAGTTGCTTTTGTATTCACATTGGTTCATTTTTGAACAATGACAACATCTGTTTAACAATACTCTGAATATTCGGTCTGAAATAGCACGTAGGTATGGCTTAGTAATAAGTGTAATAGTAATAAGTGCTGCACGCCGCCGGCCAACCCATTTCTAACTTGCAAATTATATTTTTTATTTCCTCTCTGCTGTCGCCACTGGCTTGCATGGTTCAGGATCGGTAGAGCTACGCATCGATGAATTTGCTCTTCAGTGTTTGGACTCTCAGTAATGATTTTAAACCACACTGAACTGAGCTAAACTGAACTGAACTTAAACACTTAAAACTAAACTACCCTGATCCAGTTACTATGAACATTTATGTGAAGCTGCTTTGACACAATCTACATTGTAAAAGCGCTATACAAATAAAGCTGAATTGAAAAAAACTGAACATAAAATAGTGGGTTGTGTAGGGTTGAGATTGTGTTTCAAAGATATTATGCTAACCGGTTAGCATTTTGGCAGATCACCTACTGCACCTTTAAGGCTTGGTTGTGTTTATAAGATCCAAAGCAATGTGTGCTCATGCTTCATTAGTAAAAAATACTCACGTTATTTTTTTTCATATATCTTACTTTGATTATATATAGCTACTCAGCTAACATGAAAATAAGTGTCATATTTCCTAGTTCCTTTTAAAGACCCGCCCCCAAGAGGCTCTGATTGCTCAGATAAAATAATGTGCTGTGATTCGCACATCGGCTCCACTTTACCAGAAAAAGCATCACGCTCCCACAAGCACTTGCTTTTGCACTGTGTAAACACTATTAGTCAGAGTAGCTGTTAGCCGTATCAGTTTGTGCCTGAATCAGACAGAAAATAACACATAGGACACAGCTGAACCTCACACCAGCTCTCTAAAATAAAATCTAGCTAGTGTCTTTCATATAAATTCAGAATAAGCATGTGTAAGTAATATGAAACATTCTTATATCTTTAGCAAGTTCGTTATTTGAGAAGCTGTTCTTTGTCAAATGCTAGCTATATATTTTTTATAATTCATAAAAACGATCCTTTGCTGCACGTAACCTGAAGTGTTTGTGATCCCACAAGCCCGGATGTATTTTTCTTTTGTAGTCTCCAAACTTTGTTCACTGTAGGCTTTTCTAAGCCAACTCTATAAAAGCCAATGTCTCACTTTGCATCTCTTCTTTACCTTCTAGCCCTGGCCTGGTGTTATATTGGTCTCATGCTGGAGCGAACGGAGGAGTTTTCCACTGTGCCAATGTCTGTCCATGACTGTGGATACTCTGGATCAGACCCTCTGACGTGCTACGGATCGGTACTGTATGTCAGCCTAGGAACAAATTTAGTCTGTTTGTGGTCACATTAATAGATCAGATTCCAGCATTACGGTTATCTGCCCACATTTGCTCTGTATCCACAACATGATTGGGTGTGATGCGTAACTTTTGTTGTTTCTTGACACAGGTGTTATAAAGATGTGTGTAGGCTTAAGTTTGATGTGATTACACATAAGCTGATAAATTATAGGTTAATAATCCTGTGACTATATGAGTAGTGATGCATTGTAAAAGCCTTTGCATGCTTAGACTGGTTCTCTCTGCTGACTTCCACAGGCCATTAAGCTTGCAACGGATGATGCACTCATACTCAACAGGCTAGCGAACGTGTTCTTCCTGTCAGGCAAACTGGAGATGGCCACAGGAATCTGTAACATGGCACTCAGTGTTCTACCTGATGCTGAACTCAATTGGCAGGCCTACTGCACTCGTGCAAAGGTAAGAGAAGTTATTTTATTATTGTTTTACATAGGCCTAAATATGAAAGTCTGTACATCATTAATTATGTTGAATTGGCCGTGTTTATTTATTTTTATATCCTCTCATTGAATCATACTCTAGGATGACATAACTAATGCCTTGGCAAAGACAAAGATACACACCTATTTTTGACAGATTAAAATGAAATTTAGCTGATGTCAGATAGAAGTAATTATACAAGCCTGCCCTAGAACAAATTTGGACATTTAAAATGCATCAATTAAACTGCATCTAGGGTGACATGGTGACTTAGTGGTTAGTAACGTCACCTCACAGCAAGAAGTTTGCTGGTTCGAGTCCAGGGCTTGATCAGATGTAGAGTTTGCATGTTCTCCCCATGTTGGCGTGGGTTTTCTCCAGGTGCTCCGGTTTCCCCGGCGTGGGTTTTCTCCAGGTGCTCCGGTTTCCCCACAGTCCAAAGACATACGCTATAGGTGAATTGATTAATCTAAATTGGCCGAAGTGTACGGGTGTGTGTGTTTTTTTCCAGTATGACATTTACCAGTACTGGGTTGCAGCTGGAAGGGCCTCCTCTGTGTAAAACATGTTGGATAAGTTAGCAGTTCATTTCTCTGTGGCGAGTGGCGACCCCTGATTGATAAAGGGACTAAAGCTAAAAGAAAAAGAATGAATGAATGAACTGCCTCATATTTGCCCCATTTATTTTCCTTTGCTTAGTCTGTTTATTCATCAGGATTGCCACAGTGGATTGAACCGCCAACTTATCCAGAATATATTTTACACAGCGGACGCTCTTGCAGCTGCAACCCAGTACTGGGAACACAACTATACACACTCATACACTATGGCCAATTTAGTTTATTCAATTCACCTATAGCACATGTCTTTGGACTGTGGGGGAAATCAGAGCACCTGAAGAAAACCCACGCAAACACAAGATGAACTTGGAAACTGACACAGCTGGGACTCGAACCAGCGACCTTTCTGCGGTGAGGTGACAGTGCTAACCACTGAACCACTGCGTTGCCCATATTTACATCAATTGTCCACAAATAATTGAGATAATTGTAATGAGTTTACGTTCATTCAGGGCCCCCAAAGAGACAAGATAATAGTGTTAAGAAAAAAACAAGAATAACAATGTTTTAAAGCTTTTGCAAATGAATGCTCAGATTCTCTGAGGAACAATACTTTTGATTGAGAATGCAGATGTTTTGTGAGAGTTTCTCAGGGGAATCCACTAGACCTACTATTGTGAAAGAATGTAATAAGCCTAACTTTTAAGAAAAAACAACATTTCTTGCAAGATCATAATACTTTGAGGGAATTTTTTAAAGAAAATGTAATGCAACAGACCTACTTTTATGAGATGAGGGTTTATTCATGGTGAATGCAATATTATGCAGGAAGACACACTATTTCTTAGAGGAATACAATAGGCCAACATTTGAAAGAGAACAGTAACATGGGAATGTAATATTTACAAACTTTAGTTGAATCTTTTACTTTTGAATAGAACCAGCTTTTAAGAGAATAAGAAGTTTATTGAGACAATGTAATAATTTTGAGAGTATTTTTATGCAAAACACTAAGACTACATTTAAGAGAGATCACATCGTTTTTTTAGGTAAATGCAACATGCTTACCTACAGTATGTGAGAAAAAGATGCTTCTTTGGGAACAATACTTTTCAGAGAGAGCCTATTTATTACCCAAAGCAATCGATGTACTTTGCTGAAAGAACTCATGGTTTGTGGTTGAACACAACAGGCCTGTTTTTTAAAGAGAATGCAAAGTTTCTTGTGAGAATGCAAATGATTTATGAGAGTGCACAATGTCTTGGCAGAATGTATCTCTATAGCAAAAGCATTGAAACCTTTCCTCCTGTGTCATTTCTATCCTATCACCATGTCCCCTTGGGCTGTCCATGCATTTGTATATGTGTAGTTCATCATTTTAAATATGGACATTATTGACTAATGACCAGAAAATGATTACTGTTTTATTATCAGAGGCAGAATGATGCCTTTTATTGCTTTCCTTAAAATACTTTTTAAATCCACAATATATGAAGATGTCCATTCTTGTTCTGACACTTTTAACTGACCTAACTGCTTTTTCTCCAGCTTAGTGTCACCAATTATGCAAAGGATCTCGACAAAGCAAAATGTGGCCTAGGTAGCATTCCTGACCGTCAGATTCTGAAAGCAGCCCGTGCAGACCTGGAACGTGTTCAGGCTGTTCGACCCTGTTTGAGGACTCATTTGGAGATGGGTCAGGTATAGTGACGAAATCAGAATGAATAACTACCTATAAAGCAACTAAAGTTAACAGCATAATTAATGTACCTCTCTCCTGCTCCCAGGTTTACTACTACATGGGTGTGGATGCTCTGCAGGAGAGCCTGTTGGTCGATGAAATGGCCATAAACCAGGCCCTGGTCAGTCTAGCTAAAGCTCTACAGTGTCCTCTGGGCTCTACAATCTCTAAACTACAGCTTCTGAGAGGTCGCTGCCTACTGCTGAAAGGAGAGGAGCAGAACGCCATTGACTGTTTCAGGAAAGCACTTGAACTGGAGCCTCCCGGCGTTCAAGATACAGCGATCCTGCGCTGCCTACTGCAGGCTATTCTCATGAGCTTCACCCAGAGCGGGAGAGACACGGGTCATGCTATAATCCAGTTAGAGGAATGTTTAAAGCAGGCGGAAGAGCGATATGGATCTGCTGTAGTCCAGACTGAGTTGAAGGTACTCTGTCGATCACACACAGATGAGGTGACGGAGCTCTCAAAAGATTTGGTGAAGAAGGGAAGATTGGAGGTGGTTCGAAAGTTGCTGAGGAGTGTACAGCCACAAGAGAAAAAGTATTCACTGGGAAGATCTATTTCTATTTGAAAGGATCTATGGAAAGTTGACTATTTAATATTCTCTCGGGCCATTGTTTTATGTGCTTAGGTGGTATGCACATTAAGACGAGGATTAACAATAATGTAACTATCCATTTCAAACTGGAGGTATTCAGTTTTGGTAATGCTGAGTGATGGACAAAATGGTTTTAACCGTATAACTGTGGTTTTAAAGTTGTAAAAGTCACTTTGGAATGTTGTCTTTTTGGCTTTTCCTCCAGCAACAGGCCAGAAAGCATGAAGAGCCCGTTAAACTAAAACCTACAAATTTGCTATGGGGTTAAAACCACTGAAAGCCTACACTCAAAAAAAGTGATTACTGCAGCTTGTTCAGACTACCTGTTTAAAATGAGCTGAAACAACACAATTCTTGTCATTTTTGTGGCCAATTTATTTGTTTGATGTTGAGTCCACTTAAATTTGTAAATCATTAAGTTAACTTAAGCATTATAACATTGAACAACATGAAAGAATTGTGTTGGTTGAGATATCTGATTAGGCATGCTCCCCTAATCAGATATCTCAACCAACACAATTCAATTATATTGCATGGGATTGAATTGAGAAAGAGAAATGTTGACAATAGAAGTAATCTTAGTTGTTTAAAGTTAATAGAAAGACTTGTCAGAGTTTAATCTTTAATTTAGTTTAAAGATTTATAAGATGTTCATGTAATGCTTTGAGTTTTGAAATATACCACCTTGCAGAAGCACCCATGCTTTGGGTATTAGTAGCTTCATTAGCATAAATGCAGTTCTGAGATTCAATTAACTGTATATGTAACTCATAAAATATGCTTAAAATGGCTTTTAGTTCATTTATGATAATTTAGAACTTTCAATTTTATTTAATTATTTTATTTTATTTAATTTACAGATTTCAGAATGTACGACACATTACAGTATGGTATTATCACATGTATGTATGATGTTATCAGACCTTTGAGTTTAAGTTTAAATACTGTAAAAATACAAATGTATATAAACTTTTATTTGATAAAATAATGTTGGACCAACTCAATTGCATTTAATTGTGTAAACTATTTTTGCCACAAAAATTCATTAGAAGGAAATGCTGCCCTCAATTAAACTGACCATCCATGGAGTTATTTTTTGAGTGTAGGGACTTTTCCCTTAGGAACTATTTCTCTTTGGAACATTGAATTATATCATGTTTTACACCAACATCATATTCTCCTGGTGTTTTTAAAGAAAATTAAGTTTTGAAGAGACGTTAATTATGCTTAACTTATGCTGATAATATTGTTTGTAATAAAAAAAGTCATTAAAATATAAAGAATCCACTAGTGCTCTCAGATTTTTGGATCGGGTGCAAATGGTTTATTGAAATTGCATGAAAACTATATCACAGTGTAAACATGTTTGCTTTTAACATAATTAGGTCTAACAAGTGATCATAAGAAGAAATGTAGCAACAAAAAAAATCTCCACCCAAAAACATGATAATTTGGTGGAAATTTTATGATAGTTTACCTTTACAATATTCCAAAACTGTAAGCCTTCTGTAGAACTAACAAAAAGTTAACAGTCTTAAAAAAAATCTCTCTTTTTGTTCTACAAAGCAAAGTTTGTAGGATTAATGATGACAGAAATGTCTTTTTTTTCGGTGGTGGGCTATTGCTGTAAATCCAGAATGCCATAGTAAAAATGGTAAATACTTCAGTAAAATACTAACATGTTGAAAAAAAAAAAACTGCCATGCATTGTCATCCATCAAAAGTACTGCAAAGTTTAGCTGATCTCAATCAGTGATTCGGTTGACATTACAGTAATAGAAAGTTGGTGGAACATTTTTAATAAGAATAAATCACTGATGAGGAGGAGAAGAACTGCACTTCAAAGTTCAAGGGGGAGTTTTCTTAAGAGGTGTGAGAGCAGCAATGTCTTTTATAGTAGTAGGTTGATTAATGACAAAGGCATTTAAAGACTTTTAAGGTCATTCCAGATCGTTTCAATCATTTTAATCTCTGCACCTTTTTTCCTGATAAGAACTGCCTAGAAAATGGAGATTCTGATACCAGCACAATGAAACTAGGCGTTCCTGCCTTCACCGAGCACCTGGAAAGAACAAAACAGAGATGCAAACATTAAAGACCAATTCAAATGTGAAAAAAAAAAAAAAAAAAAGAAGAAACTCCTCTGAAATACCTTTGGTGCTGTAGAACTCTAAGAAGTGACTCTTGAAGATCAACTTGATAAAGGTTTCCTTTTTCAGGATCTTCAAAGAACAACTGAAAAAAAGAGAATGATTGTGAAGCTGTAGATATGTATAAATAAAGTTTAAAAAATAGCCATCACAACTAACTGATATTCTTTGAGAAAAATAATTCTAAAAAAAAAAAAAAAAAGTCCAGTGGATCTCTGTGTACCAACCTGCAGATTCTGTGGCTGATATTTTCGGTCTATATCCCAGGGAGGAAGCTCATCACCAAACATCATCGCCAAATGATCTATGAAGCTGAACACCACAAAATAAGTATCTCCAGAAAGGATACACATCAAAATAGCGTGTTTCAACTTTGTAACAAACCTGGCGTTCTCTGAGAAAGCAGAAATGAAGTCTGTCTGGCTGTGCTCAGGATAAAGGAACAGCACTGGCCAGTGAAGGACACCCTGTTCATCCATATAAACCCGAGCGCCTGTTGCCTCCTGTGAGCTGATTCCATCAAGCTGAAGATCAGCCAGAGCCCTAGAGGTGTCTTCATCTCTATCCTCATCATCGCTGTCTGAAGCCCTGTGAGGAGGCTTTTCTGTCTTCAGGAGTTTAATTCCTCGCTCCTGAGTAGAAACAGTCATTAAAAAGTTCTCTCATTTATACTGTTTATTAAATATTTGTTTTTATTGAATTTAATATCTGTGGTACCTTAATGGCAGCTAACAATGCTTCTTTCTCATTCTGCTGCTTCTTCGCTTTAACCTTCGCCTTCCTGGCATCTCTGTCAGCTTCTCTCTAAAATAACAATACATTAAACATTAGAACGAGGGTGCCCAAACTTTTTCTTATGAAACCAAACTTGATTGAGTGTGGTGGACCGAAGGTAAATGTACCAAACACAATTCCATTAAAGCTGCCATTGGTGATTTCCTTATTTATTTAAAGAGCCCATATTATGGGTTTTTGAAAATTCCCCTCCATGTAGTGTGTAACACAGCTCTAAGTGAAGTGAAGTATCCAGCTAAGGCTTAAATCTGTAAGAATACAGTGTTTAAAACGGTTGATTCATCTATAAAAGAGTCGACTCATAGTGCTTCAAACGAGTCGCCTTGATACCGATTCATTAGGTGTTTCGCCATGACGTACGAACGAAACCAAGTTATTCACGTGCACGCGCAAACCCGGGAGATTTCAAACCTGAGGCCCCGCCCTCTGACGCAGAAACCCAGACACACACACACACACACACCCACAAACACACGCACACAAACATGCCGGTCGATTGAAGTCACACTGCAGATGGACATTATCGATTCTCTACCCAGAGATGAAACCTCAGCATTATAACCAAGCAGTTGGAAACTTCTGGAAACTACAGGCTACAAAGAATACTTCATCTGCGTTTGTTAAAGTAAGGATCAGTAAAGAGTAACTTACTAATGGACGTCAGGATGAGTTTCTTCCTCCATTTCTCAAATGTAAGTACGTGCGATTAAAGTTGCCTCGTTGACTCTAGCTTGCAAATGTATTTAGTTGTGATTTGTTACTTGTAACCGCGTGTACTGTATCAGGTTAACTGGCTATATTCTCTTATCGCGTGCAAAGTCACGTTAAAAACGTGACGCGTGCTGTTTGTTTACGGAGCTCCGTGGTAGAGGTCTGCATTCCCGCGGCTGTCCCCGCGCCAGATTTCTGCGGCGCGGGAATAAATTTCCAAATCAATCGCGGGAGCGGTCGGTAACAGGTTTAATTTGGGACGGGAGCGGGCTTTCTAGCAATATCGTGGATATTGCTATGCGAATGAGACAGAGCTTTGCCTGCCTGTGTGTCTGCTTGGCGCTTGTGTGTATGTGTTAGTGCGCGCGTATGAGAGAGAGAGAAAGAGAGAAAGAGAGAGAGAGAGAGAGAGAGAGAGAGAGAGAGAGAAAGAGAGAGAGAGAGAGAGAGAGAGCTCTGTCTGGCTGTCTCTGGACTGTTTAGCTGGGTGATTTTCAGTTATGTTCTCCCCCGCTCTTTAGCGGGATCGGGCGCGGCGGGCAGAAAACGGGGCGGTTCGGGCACCGGGACAAGAAATTCTAAATATAATCGGGAGCGGTCGGGTTCAGGCTAAAACCTGGCGAGTGCGGGCGGAAGCGGGAGCGTTGTCGTCCAGAGGTGTGTGTGTGTGGCAGCTAAAATCCACGCCTACACTATGGAGCGCGTATGAACTGTGATTACTTTTATATTGCTGATTAGCTATTGGGCATTTCATTCTCTGACTGAAGGCAGTCGACCAATCGTGACAGACTGTCATCGGTCCAATCAGCGCAGATTAGCTTCGCGCTAAGGAGGGGTTTGGGAACAAATGAATCACTGGACGATTCATACAGGAGTCGCTGGGATAATTAGGTAAAAATAAATGCAGATTATAAGACCATGAAAGTGTTTTTTGACTTTGCATGCATATTAGACTGTTGTTGGAGACCCTTACAACCAAGATATGACCCTATTTCATGTATAATATGGGCTCTTTAATATATAAAGATAACTAGAAAACATTGCTTTGTATTAACTTATGGAGTATATATATCTTTTATTTTTATAATGGACTTATTAAAATTTTAAAATACAATTCCATTTATGACAGAATTGAGTTACACTAGTCCTCCTGCCCCTGTTATGGCCTTGATTTGCTCGCCAATGTCTTTTGCGCTGTCTGCTATCTGTCAAGTGACATTTTTATACTTTGAAACGAAAAAAAAATCTGATTTATTTACAAAGATGTAATTGAAATATTTAATTTCAGTTAGTTTTTTTTTGTAGCCAAGCAATAAAACAAACAAAAAAGGTTATGTTAAATTTGAAATTACGATCTCTGTTAAAGGCATTCGCTCCAACCCTTCCCATCAATCTCACTCTTTTCTCATATGGGATAGTGGGCCAAATTAAATCAAAGTTTACCATGGGCCAACTTTGGCCTGGAGGCCCTAGCTTGGGCAGCTCTGCATTAGAATATATCAAAATGTGAGTCGGAATTGTTAATATTCTGATTTAATGCTCAAGAAATAAAAATATAACAATCATGATAGCTGGAACCATTATTAATATTTTATCCACTATGAACTAATAATTTATTAATAACAATAAGCACCTAATTTTCATATTTGAATGATTTCTACATGATCATGTAACACTGAAGATTGTACATGAAGAACGAACACTAAATATATTCTGAACAATGTTGGAAAAAACAGGCATTGACTTAGCATTTTAGGATGTCACTGGCTGCTTTTCCCCCAACATTCTTCAGAATATCTTGATTTGTGTTCAACAGAAGGAAGAAGTGAAAAATAAACGATTAGAACCATTTGACTGAGTAAATGGTCAGGAAATGTACACTTTTGGCGTGAAAAATTCCTTCAAACAATGGCTTTAAAAAATCTAGCTCTGCCATTACTGCAATCAACTATATTTTTAATGTCCATTACAATACACATTACAATATACATTCAAATATACATTATAACAGAAAACAATTATTATAACTGTAATAATAACTTACAATATTACTGTATTTTTGATCAAATAAATGTTGCCCTTGTGAGCATAGAAGACCCTTTTCAAAAACATCAAAATTGCGCACTGTTTCATGAAAGATAAAAAGTAGACAGTTTATGCAAAAATGATAATAAAAAGTGAATTAACCGATTCATTGCAAAGATTTTGTGTAATGTAATATTAATAAACTATAATTAAAGAGCAACTACATATTCATTTAGTTTCATCACTCATGCATAATAAATTCTATATCTTGCCTATTGTTGAATGGAAATCCAATGAAGCACTGACTTAAATAAAAAAAATAAAAATAAAAAAAAACAATAGATAGAAAGAGTTATTTGAATTGCTCACTGTAAAGATATCCATGATGTAGTTGACTTAATTCAGTAGAAGATTAATTAAGTTTTGTTTTGTTTTTGCTGAAACTGTGGTCCTTAGTGATTTTAACAATTTAAGTTAAAGTTTACTGGCAATTTGAAGATCAAAAAATTAAATACACAGACATTTAATACATGTGGCTCCTGCCAATACATTGAGGTCTTATTAAGCTTCTTGGACAGTTTGATTAACCCTTTTCACATTTCCGAGT